TCTATTGCAACACATTAATGCTCTGAATTTTTAGTGTAGACAGCTAGTCATACACAAGGTATTGCAGACTGTGAAATGTTTCTGGTTATGAATCACCACTGAAAAGTGGAGAAATACAATCTTCATTATAACATTAATGCATACTATTTTTATAATGGCATTGCGGGCATATGGAAGTTTTATAGCTTTATACAATGTACTCCATTCCAATTAAAAAATTATTTGATGTTATTAAAAGTCATTAATTTTCAAGTTAGTTCATACATACATTTCCCATTTACAGTACAAATTTATTTAAACTGCTATAGATCCCTTATCAAGTGAATTTTATTCATATGATTTATATTTCTTATACATTCATCTCACTTTAATTAGATTTTGCAATTATAAAACCGAAGCATATAGTACACTGAAATTGGGAAATACAATGAGATTAAATCAATAAACAAAAATGATGAATGAGTAACAATAGCTAATAGTAAAATTTTAAGAGACTATACGACTGTGAATGATTGATGGAATGAATAAATAATAGTAGTTAGCTGAATAATGATAATAAAGATTAAAAATATAATAATTCTATAAGTCATGCAGAATGAATAATAATAATTAGAAAATAACAGTGATAAAGTAAAAAAACAAAGACTGGAATTCCCAGACAATGGTCCACTTTGCCATCTATGTTGAACTTGGGGGGTACAGCCATGATAGCACTTTAAAATAACTTGACTTGTCTCTTGACTGCATGAAGGCACACTGAGCTAATGTTGAGTGTGTTGATTGCTCAGTAGTTAGATCTAGTAGTAGTCTGTTTTCTCATTATCACAGGCAATGGTTGCATGTTTACAAAAGTTGAAGAGAATAGCTCAAGAGGATATCAGCTTATCTGTAGATCTCAACTGTCATAAAACACAGGCTAATATTATCGACATAGTGATCATAAGCATCAGCTTACCTGCATGTACTGAAACTGCAAGGATGATAAAGTTCCTATCAAAGACTCAAATAGAGCTGATAAATTTCTCTCCTGATGCATAGCTATCATTCTTGCAGAAAGATCCGTATAGTTTCCGTGTTGTTCCGTACTTCAATACAAATCCGCGAGCGTTCCGCGTTGATCCGCATTTCAGCCTGATCCGCATTTGATCCGCGTGGATCCGTATTTCAGGCAGGCCCTTTCTGGGGCGTAGCTCAAACATCGCTTACCGCGACAGTTTACACGAGGTCCTTATCTCCAGAAAGAGCAGTCAGAGTCTTTTAAACTTGAGATGCTACAAACAAGGTTGTAAATAATAAATAGAGCCTAACTATTGTGTCATAAACTGCGTAGAAGTGTAGAAAAATGAAGCTTTTTATCAATGACTTCCCCAACTGGCATTACTATGTAGGTGGTGCTTAATTTGAGCCACACCTTTTATTCCAGCCGCACCTTCAATAGCTACATATTACAGCAAGCAATGCAAGCAGCAAGTCAGTGGCATTCTCTCTATAATTATTTTTGAAGAACAACATTAATTTTATGTTTCACATTTGTTATATTACACTGATTGTGGCAAGGGCATGTGCTATAGTACACTCATTCTGTCACAAAAATTCCTGTTAATTCCTGGTCAATATCTTTTTTATGGAGCTCTCCTTAGTTATAATTCTTTTAAAGCTTTGAGGAAAAGGTGATTTATTTAGCTCCGATCCATATGCATGGTTTTGTTCGATTTTTGTCATGTTTATTTTGTCTATGACCAATTACTGTTAAATTTTACAGCTCATCATAGCCCAAACAAATGCTTTTGCATGTGTTTGGAAACATTAATACAAAGAGGATAACTTAATTGATTTATAATATGCATGATTTAACTTATAACAAGATAATTTCATACTACATGCATGTACTATTAGGAAGGAAAAAGGATAGAGGAAGGAGAGTCTGCGCGTGTTGATTGAAATCTTTCCATGCACTATTTACTATATGCTTCATAATAGCAGTATTATGAAATAATTTTATTATTATTATTATAGAATTCCAGATTACTGATTTGGGTACTGGTGAAATGGTTACAGGTGATACATACAGAATAAATCAAGGATACCGGTTAAGATTACTATGCTTTTACTGTAGTGATCCTGGTGGTCAGGGTCCTACATGGGTTGGAAACGAAACTCAAGGTATAATAATAAATTTTATATAGCATCACTTTCAAATCTTTTTTATCAGTTCCAAATATATTTGATTTTAGAACATCAAGTATTACAAATATCAGTGAACTCATTGAAGGTGTTTCTACAAGTGACTTTAGACAACTCTTCCAATCAAGTAGCTCAATCGCCTCTTTAATGGCAAGTTATGCCGAAGGACCTGATCTCATACTTCCGAATTCTTTCATTGGTGGGCAATATGCCTGTCAAGCTAACAGCCAGATGCAAAACCTCACTATCATTGTCTCAAGTATGTGCTATTTATGCATGTGCAGATTTTCCACAGAATTTTGGCATAGTCCTTTTGCAGCTTCTTGTCAGTGGATTGTCAAGTTGCTCAAAGATTGGCCCAAAGTGTATACTATAGTATCCTGAGTACAGGGTATTTTGACAAAAATCACAAATAAAGAATTCTTCATTTTATAATTTTTTCTGATACGTATACACATTCTTATGCTATGTATCAACTTTGAGCTGATTCCGATCAAGTTTGGATTTTTAATGAATTTTTAAAAGTTACTTAATAATTGTACCAATCATCAAAGGCTATATATAGCCTGCCAAATTTTTAAGTCAATTTAGAGATTATGAACTAAGCTTTTGCTTTTTTCATACAATATGATTTTTTTAATTTAACGTTTTGTTTTAGGTCCTAGTGGATCTTTTTCTGAGTTTTATGTAAGGATGACTGGTTTAATTTCTAGTGCAAGCTCTGTGAATGATAAGGATTTTGATTTAGCAGTCTTTGAGTCAAGAGTAAGAGCCTTTGTTATGCACACATTTTTAGCTAATGCTTTTAGTGCAACGTTAAGAGGTACACATATA